CCCTGGCAAACAGATGATACCAGAAGTCTCAAGAGATGCAGCCGCACTCTTGAGCGAGCATGGCGTAAAACTAAATCTCTGAAAGACTTTACCCTCTACAAATCCGCTCTTCTCAAATACAACTCCGGCCTCCATGCTGCTAAGCAAACCTACTATAACACCCTCATCAAGACCCTCTCATCCAATCCTCGTCAACTCTTTTCTACCCTTAATTCCTTACTCCACCCCCCACTGCCTCCACCCACCAATTTACTTACTGCACAGGAGATTGCCAGTCACTTCAAGAAGAAGATCGACACAATTTGTGATGAGATCTCCAGTGTCAAGCTTCCTCCTCTACCCAACATACCAGGCCCAACACCAAACTCAACACTCTCCTCCTTCAACGCTGTTACCAACAAGGAAGTTACCGAACTCCTTTCCAAGGCCCACTTCACCGCCTGTCCCCTGGATCCTGTCCCCTCACGACTGTTGCAACCTCCTTCCTGCTTATATCCTAAACTCTCTAACCCACATCTTCAGCCTCTCACTCTCCATTGGCACCTTTCCCTCCCCATTCAAACATGCACTGGTTACCCCCATTCTCAAAAAACCCTCGCTGGACCCCACCTGTTTGAATTAACTTAAGGCCCATCTCCCTGCTCCCGTTTGCCTCCAAGCTTCTCGAGCGCCTTGTTCACAACCGTATGAACTGCTACCACACCGACAACAACCTTCTTGATCCCTGACAGTCTGGCTTCCGCCCACAACATTCCACAGAAACTTCCCTACTAAAACTCACTAATTACCTACTAACTGCTAAAACCAATGGCCATTACTCCATACTCATACTCCTTGACCTTTCCGCTGCCTTTGACACAGTCGACCACCTGCTCCTCCTAAGTAAACTCCACTCCAACGGCCTCCATGACTCTGCTCTCTCCTGGTTCTCCTCTTACCTTTCTCAGCACACTTTCTGTGTCACATACAACTCCTCCTCCTCCGCTCCTCTTCCTCTTTCTGTTGGGGTACCCCAAGGTTCTGTTCTTGGGCCCCTCCTTTTCTTTCTCTATACCTCCTCCCTGGGCCAACTGATAATCTTCCATGGCTTCCAATACCACCTCTATGCTGATGACACCCAGATCTATCTCTCCACTCCCCAGCTCACCCCCTCAATCTCCTCACATATCACAGATCTACTAAGCGATATATCAGTACGGATGTCACATTACTACCTTAATCTCAATCTTTCAAAAACTGAGCTTATAATATTTCCCCCTCCCCGATCCCCCACTCATGACTTTACCATTAAGATCAACAGCACAACCATTGGTCCTTCCCCTCATGCCAGGGTGCTAGGCATAATCCTAGACTCTGACCTTTCCTTTGGGCCCCACATCCACTCACTGGCTAAAACTTGCCGCCTCAACCTCCTGAACATTTCAAAATTCCGCCCCTTCCTGACCAATGACACCAAAAAACAACTTATCCACGCCTTGGTTATATCCCACCTCAATTACTGCAACTCCCTCCTCACTGGTCCACCGTTACACAGGCTATCCCCCCTTCAGTCTATTATGAATGCTGCTGCTAGACTCATACACCTTACCAACTGATCAGCGACTGCTGCCCCTCTCTGCTAATCCCTTCACTGGCTTCCACTAAACCCAATGTATAAAATTCAAAATACGAACCACAGCTTACAAAGCAATCCACAACACTGCCCCTAGCTACATCACCAACCTCATCCGCAGATATCGCCCAAATCACCCACTCTGCTCCTCACAAGATATCTTCCTCTCTAGCTCCCTCATCACCTCCTCCCACACTCGCCTCCAGGACTTCTCCAGAGCCTCTCCCATCCTCTGGAACTCGATACCACAGCATGTCCGGTCAGCCCCCACCCTGTCTGCCTTTAGGCGATCTTTGAAAACTCACTTCTTCAGGGAAGCCTACCCCACCTCCACCTAAGAACTGTACTTGAATCACCTCCACCAGATCATCCCCCGCAGCTATCACCTTTTGTATCACCTCCCCCTTCCTTTAGATTGTAAGCTCCACGAGCAGGGCCCTCCTATTCCTAATGTACTGAAATGTATTGTACTGTCTCCCTTATATTGTAAAGCGCTGCGCAAACTGTTGGAGCTATATAAATCCTGTATAATAATAATGAGATGTATCCTTAATACAGCACTACAGGATAAGTGGAATTGAGCTGGACTCTGTCAGAATTCAGATTAAAGCGGAGCTCCACCCAAAAGGGGAAGTTCTGCTTTAATGCTTTGTCCCCAGCTCTCCATTAAGGATTGGTACCTTTGGAGAGTGGGATGGAGTGGGTATCCGAATTTGACAGGTACCCGCTCCCACTTCCGCTGCGATCGCCTACGCAATCGGAAGCAGAAGTTGTCCTTCCCTCCCTGGTAGTCTTCTGGGACACGTGACAGGCCATTCACAAAGCGCAGATGTGCAGTGGGCACCCGGCTGTGAAGCCGCAAGCTGTCACAGCCAGGTGCCCACACTGAAGATGCCGGCGCCAGGAAGAGAAGACGGAAGGTGAAACCAGCAGTGGTGAGTACATCGTTGGACCGAGGGACAGGTAAGTGACTGAATTTTAAACCCCCATGGCGGTATTCCCAAGTGTAGCTCGGGGTTAACTTTCAGTACCAAAAGCGGTAACCCTGAGCTACACTCAGGATTACACTGCAGAGTTGCTCTGGGATCCCTCGAGCACTTACCTTGTCCTGCGGTCCCGCGATGTCCCCCTGCAGCGTCCCCGGCCATGTTCTCCAGCCGATGCCGGCATCCGTCTTCCGGGTTCCGTTCCCTGCGAGTGTCGGGACGTACGGGTAGTACGGGGGACGGAACCGGCGGGAATTTCAAAAATTTTAAAATGTGACATTCACTAAATACACTAAAATCTGATAGTATTACACTACTGTATCAAACCATTTCACATACATTTTGTCCCTAGTGCTTTGTCCTGTGCCCTGCCTGCATTTTTACTGTTCTTTCTGCCTGGAAACTGAGAAACGTTCATGGCGTCCAAAAAGCATCCCTTTAGGTCAAAAGCGGTTTTAGACCAGCTAGAAAACAGCAATAGTAAATTAAAACCACTTGCAGAATTGAGTGATAATGATTCGTAGGGAAATTTGTCTGAAAACGATTTTGCGACTTTGTTCAGTGATGTGCAAACTTGGCGCTCTATTTCAAATTTCATTGTTTTTGGTTTGATTACATTATTGAATTAAATTTATTATTATTATATTATTATTTTTTATGATTATTTATTATATTATAATTTATGATTTCGTGTTTCAAATTTTATCATACCCGGGATGTTTACTAGACTCTTGTTCAGACAGATTTCAGTGAGTTATTCCTAAGAATTACAAGCCTACAATAAAAAACCAACATATTTCCATTGAAAACAATGTACCGCTTTGAGCACAGAAATACTGACATAATCAGACCTCTAGGGAAGTTAAAAGTCAGCAGCTGGTTTTTGTAGCTGCTGCCTTTTTTTTTTCAGGTGGAACTCCGCTTTAAGTCCGTATGACAGGCTGTGTCTTTCTCCAGCAGCAAATTTAGCCACGCTGGAACACAAGCCAGTGCTAAGACGTATTGACGTCAAAGCGTGATGGGTGGTAACATGTTTTGGAGCCCACAATCGCTCCTTTATCAAACCAATCCTTGGTTTGATAAAGGAGTGATTGTGGGCTCCGAAACATGTTACCGCCCATTACGCTTTGACGTCAATACGTTCCGACCTCATGAACGATTCCAGTCCTAGCGCTGGTTTGCGTTCCAGCATGCCTATATTTTCTACTGGAGAAAGACACAGCCTGTCATACGGACTTAATCTGCATTCTGACCAGCCCAGCTCTATTCCACCTATCCTGAAGAGCTGTTTTAAGGATACATCTCATCCAATCATCCACCTGCTGTCCACTGAGACTTGCCAGCAAATAAGGACTGATGATATGCCCATTTACTCTCTTCCTTGTAAGTGTATTTTAACCCTTTCCTTTACTTGTTTTTATTTAAATTGATACACTTAGATGGCGGCGCCTTCTGTTTGTTTATTTGTTTGTTTATGTTCATTTGTGCTATAGAGTTTTTTATTTTTTTGTACTTTAATGAAAAATAATACCTATATGCTGTCATTGTTATTATATGTATAGGATCTATGGTCTTATTTTTAATCATATCATTTTTGTAAAAATAAAACTTTTAATTATATTTTCTGATGTTATTTTCACATGATTGGGTAACTGAAGTGAATCGTCACACAAATTATTTAGTAAACATTCTCAACTCCTTTTCGTAAATCAGCCTAAGAGTGTCATATCTCCATGTAAAAAGACAGTTATTTGCAACTATTATGTCATTTATAACAGGGGAGGTAACCTTAGAGCAGCGGTTCTCAACCTGGGGGTCGCGACCCCTTTGGGGGTCGAACGACCATTTCCCAGGGGTCGCCTAAGACCATCGGAAAACACATATTTCCGATGGTCTTAGGAACCGAGACACCGCTCCTCTGACTCAGTCGATGTGTGGGCGGGATGACACGCTGCCCTGTCACCTGGCCACACCTCCGGGATCCCTCAACAACTCCGCCTCCTCGCCGCTGATTGGCCACCGGAACTGTAGCTCAGGAGAGGCACACAGGCGGCCAATCACCGGCGAGGAGGTGGAGCTTGGAGAGGAGGAGCCGAGCGGCGGCAGCGCACGTAGATCTAAGAAGATCGAGGGAACTGCCGGAGTAAGTGAAGAGGAGAGCGGCCAGAGAAGGAAGACAGCTGACAGGTAAGTGAGAGAGCGAGCCCAGGCTGGAGCAGGGGTCAGCAAGGTAAGTATCATTGGTGTCAGTGGGAGGAATAGTACCCCATCATTTGTGTGACTAATACCAACAATGGGGCACTATTTCTCCCACTGACACCAATGATGGGGCACTATTTCCTCCCCCCCCGCACTGACACCAATGATGGGGCACTATTCCTCCCCCCCACTGACACCAACGATGGGGCACTATTCCTCCCCCCCCACTGACACCAACGATGGGGCACTATTCCTCCCCCCCACTGACACCAACGATGGGGCACTATTCCTCCCCCCCACTGACACCAACGATGGGGCACTATTCCTCCCCCCCACTGACACCAACGATGGGGCACTATTCCTCCCCCCACTGACACCAAGAATGGGGCACTATTCCTCCCCCCACCGACACCAACGATGGGGCACTATTCCCCCCCTGACCCCAAAGATGGGGCACTATTTCCCCCTCCACCACACTGACATCAATGATGGGGCACTATTCCTCCCACTGACACCAATGATGGGGCACTATTCCCCCCACTGACACCAATGATGGGGCACTATTCCCCCCACTGACACCAATGATGGGGCACTATTCCTCCCCCCACCGACACCAACGATGGGGCACTATTCCCCCCCCTGACCCCAAAGATGGGGCACTATTTCCCCCTCCACCACACTGACATCAATGATGGGGCACTATTCCTCCCACTGACACCAATGATGGGGCACTATTCCTCCCACCGACACCAATGATGGGGCACTATTCCCCCCACTGACACCAATGATGGGGCACTATTCCCCCCACTGACACCAATGATGGGGCACTATTCCCCCCACTGACACCAATGATGGGGCACTATTCCTCCCTCCCAATGATGGGGCACACCAATGACACCAATGATGGGGCACTATTCCCCCCACTGACACCAATGATGGGGCACTATTCCCCCCACTGACACCAATGATGGGGCACTATTCCCCCCACTGACACCAATGATGGGGCACTATTCCCCCCACTGACACCAATGATGGGGCACTATTCCCCCCACTGACACCAATGATGGGGCACTATTCCCCCCACTGACACCAATGATGGGGCACTATTCCCCCCACTGACACCAATGATGGGGCACTATTCCCCCCACTGACACCAATGATGGGGCACTATTCCCCCCACTGACACCAATGATGGGGCACTATTCCCCCCACTGACACCAATGATGGGGCACTATTCCCCCCACTGACACCAATGATGGGGCACTATTCCCCCCACTGACACCAATGATGGGGCACTATTCCTCCCACTGACACCAATGATGGGGCACTATTCCCCCCACTGACACCAATGATGGGGCACTATTCCTCCCACTGACACCAATGATGGGGCACTATTCCCCCCACTGACACCAATGATGGGGCACTATTCCCCCACTGACACCAATGATGGGGCACTATTCCCCCCACTGACACCAATGATGGGGCACTATTCCTCCCACTGACACCAATGATGGGGCACTATTCCTCCCACTGACACCAATGATGGGGGCACTATTCCCCCACTGACACCAATGATGGGGCACTATTCCCCACTGACACCAATGATGGGGCACTATTCCCCCACTGACACCAATGATGGGGCACTATTCCCCCCACTGACACCAATGTTGGGGCACTATTCCCCCACTGACACCAATGTAGGGGCTCTATTCCTCCCACTGACACCAACGATGGGGCACTATTCCCCCCACTGACACCAACGATGGGGCACTATTCCCCCCAATGACACCAACGATGGGGCACTATTCCTCCCAATGACACCAACGATGGGGCACTATTCCCCCCACTGACACCAACGATGGGGCACTATTCCCCCCACTGACACCAACGATGGGGCACTATTCCCCCCCACTGACACCAACGATGGGGCACTATTCCCCCCACTGACACCAACGATGGGGCACTATTCCCCCCACTGACACCAACGATGGGGCACTATAACCCCCACTGACACCAACGATGGGGCACTACGCCCCCCACTGACACCAACGATGGGGCACTATTCCCCCCACTGACACCAACGATGGGGCACTATTCCCCCCCACTGACACCAACGATGGGGCACTATTCCCCCCACTGACACCAACGATGGGGCACTATTCCTCCCACTGACACCAACGATGGGGCACTATTCATCCCACTGACATCAGTGATGGGGCACTACTCCTTCCACTGACACCAATGATGGGGCACTAGTCCTCCCACTGCAAAATTACAGTTATGAAGTAGCAACGAAAATAATTTTATGGTTGGGGGTCACCACAACATGAGGAACTGTATTAAGGGGTCGCGGCATTAGAAAGGTTGAGAACCACTGCCTTAGAGCATAACGTGTAATGGTGCTAAGATCATTCCCATTCATTATAGTACAAATGACACTCATAAGAAAGCACTTTAGCTGGTTGAGGTGGCAGGACTGGGCTATAATTCAAGAAGTGGAGGAGTCTTCTTTAACATTTATCACTTTAATTGGAATATGGAAATGCTTTGTACAATAATGGACTTCAGTGCAGAAGACGCACACTAATTCAGCTTTGCATTCATTAATATAGTTTTTGACTGAATCAAGAGGCTGCTAATTTTAATGCAGTCAGTAAAAAAGTACCTACATTTGAATTATTATAAGCCTCTTACAACACCATGTACAGCAGAGCTCAGACTTGGAAAGGGAGACAAACCCATTCAATTGTGCTACAGTACTCATGTGCTAACAAGGAACATGCAAACGTGATGTCTGGGCTTCTGATGTGTTGCTGTGCCTTTAAGGATGAGGGAGATGCCTCCAAGTGAGCCTGCTCTTAGCTTGTGCATTGCTACATATACGCCTAGTTTAAAACTTTTCCTTTGTAAATATCAGTGCTTTAATGTAATCACTGCTATTGACCAAATAGAGTTTTTTAAATATTTTGTTTGCACTGGTACATGTTCCCCAGAGCAGCTCCCACCCCCATGCTATTTGTGACAATCTATTGCTTTTTAGCCCAGAAAATTGTATTTTTTTATTTGACAGATTCAGCTCCCATTGATTTCAGGGGTGTTTGGGTTCAGTATCTGAACTCCTATGAAGTCTGCCACACCCTGCTCAAACCAAGCTCAGGGCATTTTGACTTGTCCTTAGTGGGGGACTTGGATATTTTATTCGACATATATGTAGTGCTACCCCTGTAGGAGCCACTAGAAAGATGCCCATGGTTCTTTTCTCAACAGTTGCTCTGCAGCCAGGAACACGGCTTCAGTCACTCTTGGCTCAATGAACAGTCCAGGGGAGTCCTTTTTGAGGTTTTTGTTTTAGGGTTATATTGGATGGTCTGGAGAATTAGTGGGATACCCCAAAAAGGACTATGTACAAGATGAGGACACTACGCTTTCTTCTGTAGAATTGTAAGCAAAGTCCTTGTAAATGTAGGCAGTGGACTTGGTTTTGTGGTAGCAGCAATAGACACAGAAGTTTCCTCTTTTGAGCAATTTCAACAGAGTCCATTCACAAAGAATTAGATGAACTTAGCTCTTCTGGACACCAACCAATGTCCCATTTACACACTCAGCTGACTACCACTAGAAGGGTGGCAGCAGCCTAAAGTCTCTAGGATCTCTCACACAGTCTGTACTCACAAATGTCCTCAGATGATGGTTGCCTGTGGCGAAAATCTTCCAGACACCTTTACCAGTGACCTGAGACCACATCCTCAAACAATATCCCCTCAATCAGCCTTCGGCCTTTAAGTATCCAGGCCCCTCAGCTAGTCCATTTGAGGCCTCAAGAACAGCAAGCACATGGCAGGGCTGCCTAAGGGGGAAACCAGCCCCCCTTAGGCTCTCCCCCTCTCCTGCAGGACAAGATAAGATTGTTCCAGGTCTCAAACTATTTATATACTTTCCCAGCTCCTTCTGTGCAATCTTCCCACAAGGATTGGCTGAGACAGTATAAATATTAATGTTGCCCATTTACATTACTCCACACCTATGTTCTAGTACCTTTTAGAAGGCAGGAGGAGTAATCAAACCTTCAGCCTGTGAAAGACAGAACAGACCAGGCCTAAACAATTACAAACGGCCACATTGATTACAGTGAGCCAAACTAAATTTACCTATCAAGAAATGCAGCTCCACTGGATACAGTGAACCAGAGCTAAATTTACCCAATCCTAGCACCTAGCTAGGACGGTGCTACATATATAGGCTTTGAGAGAGAATAGCAACACAAGGATCCAATCGGTTGCACTGTAGTGATCATATGCTAACAAAGAAAATGCAGATAACAAAGCAGAGTGACAGAGGTGAGCAAGGCAGTCTGCTGCTTCTCCTTCATTATCCAATCACAGGCTGGTGGAAGGGCACGACCTGTGGTGCAACTTAACTGCAGCAGAAAAAGAAATCAGGCCTCCTGCCCTAACAGACAGAGCTGTGTGTGGTAGAGCTGTGTAAATCTCAGAAATGGATGCATTAAGGCCGACCCTACCTGCTGTATCACATATGCAATATGTGGTTGGCAAGAGGTTGAACAATGATTTGTAAGACAAGGGTGTGTATTTAAGCAGTGAAAAGCTGGTGATAAGCAGTGATAAGACTTTTCATTACTTCGCAGTGATAAGCAATAAACAGTGGGAAGTCAAGGAAGAACCTGAATAAATCAGAGGACTTCATGTAGTCAGAATGTAATAGTTATGTATCTGTTTAATAAGCAGTAAAAGATACAAAAAAGTCTTATCACCGTGATAAATATTTAGAAATGTCCTCTACAAATGTCCTACAAATTTATCACTAAGTCAGACAATAAAAAGCCTTTTTGGAGAAAAACTGAGATAAGAACCAGGAAATGACCATTTTAAACATTATCAATCATAACTGCAGGATTGCTCCTGTTATATAGCCAATAGGGTGCATTTCAGCATGTGGCTCCCATCTCCCTTGACCTTCAGGGGGTTTAATTATCACCTACAGGACTTTTTTTGGTTCACAAATTTGTACAAAAAAATTGTGAGTAACAATGTTTTGCCTATTGTAACTACAGAATGAAATTCACATTAGAACCTGTTAACATCAGTGGGCATGCGTTAAGATGCATATAACGTATCTATGCTGGTGTGCATTGTGTACCTGTAAAGCAATGTGTTGTAACAATGCAATACAGAGTTTACTACTTCTTTTATTAACTTTATTGAAAATTAAAAAAAATAATAATTCAAGTCAATTCACATTGCAATGTGCTTCCTTGTGTGGTAACATGTTGTGCATTGTAAAAAAAAATGTACACATGCAATGCACACCAACTTGTATGGTATGAACAGGGCACATAGAAAACAATTGTTCTCTCAGTGTCATCATATTGAGCCTGCCTCGATCTCCTTGATTTCCTGGTGTGAAT